ACAAGAAGGGGCTGAGGAAGATTGGGAGGGGAGAAAGCTCTGGAGGGACTCAGGAGGCTTTGAGGGTGTAGTTGTGTTTTTGGGAGGAAGGTGGAGAGAGGGAAGGTGCCAGGTGGGATGAGGAGGGGATGGCAGCAGGACAGGAACCCTGGGGAGGGCCTTGGGGGGGTATAACAGGAGGTGGGAAACCTTTGGTGGGGGCAGTGTGAGAGGGAAGGCTCTGGGGAGGGGGTAAATCCCTCCCTGGTGGAGTTCCATGGGATTCTTTTTCCAGGATGGCAAGTGACCATTGGTTTGGGCCTTTGAGTCAAAGACCTTGAGTGTCTGTGACTTTCAGGAAGGGCAGGGGAGGGAGGGGAGAGGGTGGGCAGCTGTTTTGTGATGCTGTCAGGAACATCTGGGCTTGCAGGATCCTGACAAAACAGGGAAGGGCTGGGCTCACCCTGGATCCAAGTGCTGGATGGCAAGGATTAATGCAGGGAATGTTCCTGGGAAGGGAATGCTGCAAAAGCACTTGAGCAAACAGCCTCAGGTTACACCAGGAGAGGTTTAGGTTGGCTATTAGGGAACATTTATTCACCGAAAGGGCTGTAAAGCATTGGAAGGGGGAAGTGGTGGAGTCACCATCCTTGGAAGTGCTCAGAAACCACCTGGATGTGGCACTTGAGGACGTGGTTAGTGGTGAAGATGGTGGTGGGACTGGATGATCTTTTCCAACCTTAATGACTGACTGGAAGTGTCTCCTCCTGGCAGTGGCAGTCGGTCCTCGAAGACATTCAAGCCAAAGAAGAACATTCCTGAAGGTTCCCACCAGTATGAGCTCCTGAAGCACGCGGAGGCCACGCTGGGCAGCGGGAACCTGCGGCAGGCAGTGATGCTGCCCGAGGGGGAGGACCTCAACGAGTGGATTGCAGTGAACAGTGAGTCCTCCCTGAGAGCTGGAGTGGGAAAACCTCAAATCTCTCTGGGGTTTATCCCAGGGATTCCCCAGGTTTGGATAGCTGGGATGGGATGAAGGTCTGGGAGTGTTTTCTCCCCCCACGTCAGGGGTTTGTGCAGACAGGAAGAGACTCACAGCACTGTGGGTTTGGGGGTTGAGCTCTGTAAAGGACATGAGGTTTGGGGAAGGTTCTTTCTGGAGTGAGAAAATTAGCATTGTTGGCTGCAGAAGTTGTGGCACCACAGGATCCAGGGAGAAAGTGGAGCCTGTTTCCACTCAGCTCCAGGTTTGTGGAGTTTCTTTTGCTTTTCCATCTTCAAATCTTCTTCAAGTCCTTTTAGCAGCTGCTCCCCCTTGGCCTTGAACTGTGTTTCCTTGGATGTCAGAGGAGGAGAAAGTAGTTCTGAGCAAGGAAGGGAGGAAATCAGGTCATGAGTGTTCAGCCTAGGGAAAGTCTCTCTGGCATTATCCAATCAATCAGGTTTTTGAGGAGCCTGGGATCTAAAGCTGTTCTCTCCAAGGTATGGAATGCTGAGTGGAGCTCAGCAGCCAGGGACAGTGAGAACTTGACAGAGCAATTCCAGTTCCTCATAGCTGAGCTGTCTTGGAAGTCCTCAGCCAGGGAACATCATGTGGAGGGAGGTGTTTGTTCCTGCCAAGAGCTTGGTGGGACATTCACCTGGTGACAGTGATCCTCAGGTGCTGTGTCAGCCAAGGGAGAGCAAACTGCTGCTCCAGCTGCTTCCTGTTCCCACTTGGAGTCACCTGGATGTGTTTCCTTTCCAGCTGTGGATTTCTTCAACCAAATCAACATGTTGTATGGGACCATCACGGAGTTCTGCACGGAGACCAGCTGCCCAGTCATGTCTGCAGGGCCAAGGTGAGGAGTTTGCTGTGGCCTGTGGGGACAGTTCCTCTTTGGGGGTGCAGAAGGGAGTGTGGGTCACTCCTATGTGTGTAGGACGAGGCTAAAAAGAGGATGAGACATGTCAAGAGATTGGGTTGAGGCACCTCCTTGTGCTCCTCTGGTGTTGGTGGTCACACCATCTGTTCAGGGAGGCTGTGTGGCCTGGGGATCTCCTTCCTCCTCCAGTCAGGTCCCTGTGCTTAGAAGCTGAAGAGATTTGTGGTTGAACAGGTTGGTTTTAAAGAAGATGAGACCTAACTCAACTGGAAGGGTTTGGTCTTGCTAGCCACGTCTTAGAGAATCCCAGAACGGTTTGGGTTGGAAAGGACCTTAAAGCTCATCCAGTCTCACCTCCTGCCATGGGCAGGGACACCTTCCCCCAGCCCAGGTGGTTCCAAGCCCCATCCAGCCTGGCCTGGGACACTCCCAGGGATGGATCCCTCCGTGTGCTGCCTCGTGGCGCCGCGGCCACGTGGGTGGTGCTTCTCAGCAGACACGTTCAGCAGCCTGAGACGGTGAAACTGCTGCGTGGGAGGAGGTCAGGGCATCATGGAAAGAGGCAAGAAGACAAGAGAAGCATTTTTGGGGGCACCTCGTGGATTTAGGTGGGAGCACATGCAGGGAGAACACCAGGTGTTGGCTCTGCACTGGTGTATGTGCCAAGCTGAAGCCACAGCGAGGAATCTTTGGGAGGTTGTTCAAGGCTTAAGCATGTGGGCAGCACCTGTGGGTGCTGTGCATCGTCCTGCCCTGCCTTCCTACCCAGCAGGATCTACACTGCCAGTTCCTGTTTCTAAATTTGAGGCCATTTCCTGTAGCAGTTTCCTGTTTGAATGGCTCTGCTTGTTTTCACTCATCGTCACAGCAGCGAAACATGGAGGTTTTCCCTTGTTTCTGAGGGACTTTGGGAAGGACCTCAGAGCTGTGTGGTGACACAGTGTCTGCTCCAGTGTGGAGGAGCCATGGGATCTGGGTGGTGATTGGATCTGGAGGGATCCAAAAGCCTTTGGCTGACATCCTGGGGATGGTCTATAGGAGGAGTCTGGTGTGAGTGCCAAATTCCCAGAGGGTGTCAGAAAGCCACAGGGGAGGTGATCCAGGGGGTGGGTGGTGGCCCTGGTGCTTCCTCTTCAGCCAGTTTTTGGCTCTTTTAAGGCAGCAATGATGACAGAGGTTGGCACAAAGCTGAAGCTCCTTCCTGAGGGTCAGTGCTGACTGTTGTGTTGTGCCTGAGGGACTCAAACAGGCTCAGCACTGCTCCTGTCACTCCTGAGTGCTGCCAGTGATAAGGAGGCTGCAAGGCCTGAAAAATGTCATTTTTTTCCTCTGGGAGCAAGGACTGAATTCCTCCTGTCCCACAGGTACGAGTACCACTGGGCAGATGGCACCAACATCAAGAAGCCAATCAAGTGCTCAGCACCCAAATACATCGACTACCTGATGACGTGGGTGCAGGACCAGCTGGATGATGAGACACTCTTCCCCTCCAAGATCGGTAAGAGCAGCTGTGAGACACAACACACCCCCTGAGTGGGCCCTCCTGACCCAGCCACAGCCTCATCCACATCTCTGGGTGCATTCCAGGTGTCCCTTTTCCCAAGAACTTCATGTCGGTGGCCAAGACCATCCTGAAGCGTCTGTTCCGCGTCTACGCCCACATCTACCACCAGCACTTCGACTCGGTCATGAGGCTGCAGGAGGAGGCTCATCTCAACACCTCCTTCAAGCACTTTATCTTCTTTGTGCAGGTGAGCTCTGAGGCCTCTGGGGTTTCCTGTTCCCTTGCACTGGGTGTTGAGAGCCTCTTCCAGCTGTGCTGGGAGATAACACCCAGCTCCCCCTCCCCACCCAGCTTATGGTGCTTGTGGGTTTTTCAGGAAGTGTGGCTGAGTTCTCTGTAAATATCCCTCTCAGGTTTTAGTGATCAGCCTGCAGCCAATGAAACAGGCTCAGGGGACAACTTGGGGGTTTGTAGCAGCACCAGCAGAGGTTTTTTTCCTTCCCAGTCTATTCTGTGAATTGCTGTGCACAGCAGTGTGGCACAGAAAGTTTTGCTGCTTGAATTTCTCCCCCTGAAATAGGAGGTGGCAGCAAGACTAACTCCCATCCCGTGGCTCTCCCAGAAGGTGAATGTTCTCCAGCAGCTCCTTGAGAGGTGCCTTTAATTCCTGTGTCTCTCTGTTCCCTACCAGGAATTCAACCTGATTGACAGGAGGGAGTTGGCTCCGCTGCACGAACTGATTGAGAAGTTGGGCTCCAAGGACAGATAAACATTCCTGGGAGGATCCTTTTGTCCTCTCCTTTCTGCTGCTTCTTCAGCCACCTCTGCGCTTCGCCCTCAGCGACGCCGGACGGCCCCGAGTGGCATCACTCCTGCTGTGCAGTCCTCCCTGGGTTGTCTTGCTCCAGTCTGGCAAGAGCTGTGGTCTGGGTGAAGGTGGAGCAGGTTTTGTTCCACACAGGGTGACATTCCAAGGGCTGCACAGCTGCTTTCTGCTCCCAGAGTTTTCCTCTGGACCTCACAGCCTGTGAGGAGCCCCACCAGGGCTAAGCCCAGGAGTGGCTCAGCTTACTTTTTGGAGGTGCTTTTTTTTTTTTTTTTTGTGTTTTGTTTTCGGATGAGGTGCACTTTGGCCCAGAGCCTTAAGCTCCCCTTGGCAGCAGCACTGTGGGGGGAGGAGGAGAAGTGCCTGGCCCAAGGGGGGCCTGTCCCTGTGCTGGAGGAGCAGCTCCCAGTGTCCCACGGAGAGGGGGGAGAGGGAGGGACCCTCCTGTGTGGCAAGGCAATAATAAAGTTTCTTCCTGCTCTTCTTTCTGAGGAAGAGGGATGTCTCCTCCTCTTCTCTGCCCTCCCCCAGCCCTGCACAGGTGTGGGGATTGAAAACACAACACTGGATGAGTTTGCCACACAGGGAGGCAGTGCCAGAGCAGCCCTGGGGCACCTCTCAGAGCACTTTATTGGCTGGGGAGCAGCATCAGGGCTTGGGGGTGGAGGTGAAGATGCGCAGCCCGTGCATGTGCTTGATCTCCTCACTCAGGGCCTGCAAGACAAGCAGCAGCTCTCAGGGGCAGCACAGGGTGGGGACAGGCAGTGCCTGTGCATGGCACGAGGGCTGCACACTCAGGGTCCCCCAGGGTTGGAGGTGAGGTGAGGACACACAAAACTGAGCTCTGTGTGGGGCTTTGAGCTGTTTGATCCAAAAGTGCTGCATGCACATAGAATCAGAGCAGGTTCAGGGGTTGGGATGGAGTTTAGAGATGATCCAGTCCCAACCTCCTGCCCTGGGCAGGGACATCTCCCACCAGAGCAGGTTGTTCAAAGCTTCATCCAGCCTGGAATGAACACTCAGGGCTGGAGCATCCAATACCTCTCTGGGCAACCTGTGCCAGTGTCTCACTAACCTGGAGCA